CACGCCGAGCATTGGGACACGCTGTCGTGACGCCGGAAGAAGCAAAATCTGGTCCGAATATTGCTTGCGGACCTATTGGTGTTTGGCAGACATTTGGCGCCAATTTTGAATAGCTTTGCTAGCAGCTTTCCAAATAGCTTAAGCTTAGCTTAGCTTAGCTTAGCTTAGCTTAGCTTAGCTTAAGATTTGAAAAAGCTAACGCTAGATAGCTCAGCTCCGAATACTGAAAAGCTAAGCTAAGCTAATACCAACTATATGCGAGCTCACTATGATGTGGTGGAATGTCAATACGTGCCGAGAGTCACAGCGTGCGTCCGAGGCTGATATGAGTCAGATCTTGATTTGACCAATGAGCATGACGTCCGCACTGGCTGATTGGAGGCCCCCAGTGGCTCACAACCGTGTTGCTGTTTTGGAGCAAAGGGTAGGTCAGCTAAACGGAATGATAGTGATGTCGCTTCACGAGATCTTCACGCCCGACTGTCTCGAAAGAATGAAGTCGTGATATGGCTAGCAAGAAGACATAAAACACGATATGTTCGCGTTATCTTGAGGAGATTCAGCGCATATATCAATCCCCTACTGTGAGAGATCCGACCTCGCGCATTGTACATACCGCAGACACTACATGTGACTTATTTAAATAGGTTCATTCCACGAAATAGATAATTTTATCCACTATGCATTCGTGTGTTGCGAGCATTGGTGTGATGCTTTTACGCATTCTTGCCCTCGGCTCAGTCTCGCTCCCAATGAGACCAAATCCACTTTGTTGGAACGTCGCCCAGGGTATTTCAAACTCATTTATGTTAAATGCAGTGAGGCCTGCAGAGAAATGTACGCGTCATTCAACGGAAAGTCAATGGTAAGGAGCGGCTCTATACATCACCATATTTCTCGCAAGTGCTTCGGAGGATATTTTTCTTATCACAATTCACGTTTTGCGTCTTTCCAATTTAGTTCCGGCACCGTAAAAAATGTTTCTTGGATATTGATGTAAATCGTGCACCGATATTCGATAGTGCTATCAACAAGCCACGATAACAAACAACTAGGCAGAAAACGACTTGGCTGTATCCTTACTGGTCACATTATCGCTGACAGGAGCAAGATTAGCCATCTTGACCAGACGATCCAAAGCGATCACACTGCCGGTAAATTTATCTATCGGACGTGTCATGTAATATACTTTAAAGAAACACCCATACTTATGAACTGTCAGCTGCCTGCCGAAAGCGGCAGGCTGGCTAAAGATGCCGCTGCAAACGGTGAATGTTCAGCCCATACCCGAGCACCGTTCGCAAGCTCTCAAGTGTTTATTGTTGTATTTCGCGACCGGAAACATATCGTCGAGATACGTTTTTGATCAGGCCCGAAAAGATGTATCACTAGACAGTCGATATCGCTGGCAAATTAGACTTACTCTTTTGTAGAATCTGCTGTTCCAAGGTATACCAGTATTTACGACTAAGATGGAAGTCGCTGTCTCTCGTCAGCAGTTACCACCAATCTGGGGAGGGCAACAACTACAGTGCTGCTGATCATGCAGTTTTGCAACGTAATCTTTTCAGAAATCGATAACTGCGGGTCCGTTTCGATAATTATAAGAATGTCCTAATCGCCACTTCTGGCTAGCCTTTCTGACTCAAATTGTTGGTGCTGGTGTGAATTTATTACCCTCTTCAAGTCTACTTCAAGCTTGTGCTGAGATAGGGTTCAGTGGCGTCAAATAGTAGGATGTGGTTCTTGTAGAACTTTTCAAGATGTCATGATTGCAACAATTTCCGTGCCAAATTTTTGTGGTAATTTTTCGGTTTCGGATCAATACTGAAAAATCCAAGAGCTGTTTGGATAACAATGACACTACTTAGATTGTCAGCAATGATTGGAGCTGTATGGTCCTGCTCTGGCGTACAGATATTTTCCAGAACCAAGGACATTAGCGTCTTTTAACATGCAATTCAGAGCTGGCTCATTCTTTACGCTTAACCACACTTTGTAGTCATTAAATATAAAGTTGCATTGGATGCCTGCAACTGTTTGCAAAGTTGCGAGCTAACCATTTCAAAACAGTTGTACAGCAAAGTGCACGCATGTTCTCTTTGGTCATAAAGAACTACATCTGGACGACATAGTTGAACACTTTTTTTTCAATGCGCTGAGAAGAAGATCTACTGAAAAAAAAGAACGGTCATGTTTTATTTTTGTTCCTTCTTTGCAAGAACTGGGAGCATGTAACTGATGTTTGCTTGTGAAGTGATTTGCATCCTCAGTGCTTCCTCTTCTTCAAAAGAAAACCATTGGGACTTCTAGCGACACCATAAACTTCAAAAATGGTCTACATCTACTTAAAATGACTGCTAGCACGTTCCGATTAAAATCGATACGTGATGCAGGCTTTGCAGTGTTCGCAGGTAGCACACTGTGCGTTTTGCGGTTGCAAGAAGTTTGTAAATCAACTCGTACGCCGTCACCATTTTTCTCCCTGTTTTTTAGTAGAGGCTGCTGCAGCATTAGCGCACTTCCCAGCAAGATAAACAGCGGATCCGTCAAAGGTAAGATCGAAGGAGACATCTGCTTGGTTGGAATCTGTCATTGCTCAAGCCGTTAAGCAGATACCAGGATACCAGCCGCTGTGATGATAGCAATGGCAGAAGAACGAGGAGCATATGATTATAAACAGATTGTAAAGTCCGCAACGGATCTGCGTTCGGCTAAGAATTGTTTTGTGTCTAATGAAACCCTAAGAAATTATAATACCCATAAGAGTCATAGACGGCTTTTTGTGATAAAACCCCTTGAGCCCAAACCAAATTACCCAACCAACGCCACCATTGATGAATAAATTACCTTTCTTACGAAGGCCTGCTTTCAATTTGTGCGACATAATCTATCTTGTTTAAAATAAAATTATAGAAACCGCATGACGTGATGCCTTGTCCCAGAAATCTCCCCTTTGCGAGTTTCTATTGTCTAATCAATGCCAGTCTTCTGCTCTTTGTACAATATTGTAATGCCATTATTTGGTACTTTTCCCATCTCAACAGTAATCATAGAAGTGATACGCGGCGTCATCAGCAGATCCTTTGCGTATCTTTCAGCGAAAACTTCTCACACAATTGTATGCTTTATTCTATTTCCTAGGCCTCCTCAATCTCTTTGAATTTTTGCTCGATGTCTGCTCCCGCACGGATAAACTAACCCACTGTTGATGGTTGATATTGGAAAACTTATTAGCGAACCTACAAATAATAATCGCTGTCTTGAATTAAAAGTTGGCAACTGTATGTAGTTCGCGAGTCAGCGTCAAAATAATAAAAATTTATGACCTTTTCAAGACAAGTTTGACTCCTTATTGGTAAGACTCATTGTCACATAAAAATGTTTGAGCTTTAAAATCTATAAAATTTACTTGTAAGTTGAAGATTCGATGTCAAATCAAAATTTCAATATCTTTCAGCCTGTGTATAGACTCATTCCAAACTATATACATGTTATATCTCTGGTTGGATGTAATCACCGGCACTTTTTTTAAATCGTTACTATTTGCCAGACCTTGTCATTACAAATTACTAATTTGCAGATCAAATTGGTCTCGTGAAATTTTGCCGTTAGGTGAGCAAATACAATAGATATTGTGTACAAACCATGAGTGAGTAGCAGAGATTGGAATTGTCTCCGATATCCATCTGGAGAGTGGAAAAGACAGTGGAGCTTGAGAAGGAAGTGCAAAGCAGAATTTGTAGCGGCACTCTTTAGCTCGCAACAAAACTGAAAAGAGTTGTATGAGATACCCGCGCCTTGGAAGCATGGGGAACCCTCCACGACTTCTTTAATCGCTCGACTCTTCACAACCGTGTGGTGATGACTCGTCGACTGCACGAGTTCAAGGTGGAAAGTGGGACAAGCATGGCAGAGCATCCGAACTCTTTTGGTGAGCTGGTAGTGGGACTCCAGACTACGGGAGAGCCAGTTGATACGTCAACTTGTGGTTCTACTCATCAGTCTGCAGGCAGAGTATGACTCGATTTTGGAGAATGCGAAGGGCATCACGTTGATTGAAGTCAAGGAGAAGCTGCTCAAGGAATCGGAGAAGCTGCAAAGGAAGGGAGCTACGGAGAAAGCGTTCCACGAAAATGTAAACGCTAGAAGATTCAAAGGTGGACGGAACAATGGACGAAAGGGCGGTCCTTCACGCGAAAACGGCGGATTCAAGGGCAATTGTTTTAACTGTGACCAATTTGGGCACAGGAAGTGGAGTTGCCCAGCCAGTAAGAGGTCTGACACCGACGACACGGTGTTTGCTGTTGGTGAAGAAAAGTCTTCAGGATGGCTGGTTGACAGTGGGGCAACTTTCCACATGACCCCACAGAGGAAAGACTTGTTTGATAACAAGGGCCTTGGAACTAGCATTGAAGCTGCAATTACAGATGAGAAGAATTTGCTCATTAAAGGAGCTGGCACGGTGAAACTGACTGGATTGGACGGAAAAGGCATTCGCATGGTGCAAGCTCTGCACATTCCCGGAATCGACAGAAGATTACTATCCGGTGGCAAGCTTGCAGAGATTGGTATGAGCGCGGATTCCTCACGTTCGTCTTGCGTCATCTGACACAAGAAGCAAGCGATTGCGTCACGTTTAAGAGTCGGAAGGTCGTATTTGCTTGACTGTGAGCAAGAGAAAGCATGTCTCGCTGAATATTCTGGGGCTGACAATCAGTGGGAGCTTTGGCATGCTCGCATGGGATACCCCGGCAAGGACGTACTGGTCAAGCACAACACTCAACAAAAGGAAGTCCAATTATCAAGCAACATGAGGAAACATTGTGTGCTGAATGTTTGAAGGGCAAGCGAACAATCACGGCATTTCCATCTCGCTTGATGACAAAAACGACACGTGTGTTAGAACGCGTACACACAGATGTCATGGGGCCTATAAGGACTTCCTCGAAGGGTGGTGCCAAGTACATTCCTTCGTTTGTGAATAATTTACAA